ACAACTATGATGCAGAAGTTCAAGCCATCAAGATAGCGGTAGAGAAACTACTAAATACAGGGTATTTTTCACAACCAGTGGTATTCCTGACAGATGCAAAAGCAGTACTTCAGTCACTCCAGTCTGGAAAATTACCAAGCATACGGACACTATTATCCGAACTAGGCAACCGCTGTAAATTAGTAATGCAGTGGATACCTTCCCACTGTGGAGTTCCCGGAAACGAAAAAGCTGATAAACTAGCTAAGGAAGGTGCAACTGAAGAACAACCTGACATACCAGTCTCTTATCAACAGAAGAAGAGAATGATCAAATCAATCAGAATTCCACCGAAACTGGCACAAGATGATTACCATATTATGGACAGACCAGAGCAAGTTATTATCCTTCGCCTTAGAACAGGGCACAATAGACTTCGCTCCCACATGTACAACAAATTTAAGATTGGCCAATCGGCCATGTGTACTTGTGGACTGGCACCTGAAACAACAGATCACATCCTTCAAGACTGTCCCATATTCAACGCTTTCAGGCAAAACATTTGGCCAAAAGAGACACTTGTGGAAGTTAAACTTTACGGGCCGCTTAGTGAATTACAAAAGACAGTGAAATTCATGCAAGAGACGGCTTTGCAGATATAGATAATTTATTTCATGCGAACGAAAGAAGAAGAAGAAGTTAAGGAAGCTAGCGGTGCCTTCTCCATGACCACCAGCAGCATGACGATGGAGGTGATGGCGGTGACACAAGCTTTCGTGTGGCTGGGATCACAGGACTATTCCCGCGTGTGTGTGTTGAGTGATTCTTTGAGCATGATCGGCGGTTCAAGGCAGGCTGGCTACGCAGACAGTGGTTTGAATCATTGCAAAACTCTCCTGTGTGTGCAGTCACCTTCATATTTGTCCCAGGGTATGCAGGCGTTGTTGATAATGAAAGAGCTGATAAGACTGGCAGGTGCTGCATTAATTGAAGATGGCCCATTAATTGAAGATGGCCGGCCCATGGATCACGCAGACATTGTCTTTGCTCTTAGAGAGATATGACGTTCTGAGGATTTTGGAAGCAACGTGTCCACATCACTTCTAAGAATATGCGAATTGGGAGTAAAGATCGGCACAGCCAAGCACGAAAAGCACACCGGACGCACACGAAATCTTGTTAACCAACATAGGACTGGTACTATTAACAGCACGACGCTGATGAATATGTTGAGAGGGGAATCTGAGCACCTATGGATGTGTCCGGAGTGCTGTGAAGATAATCTAACTCATAACTGTTCATGTAGTGGGTATATTCTTTTCACCGCAAAAATGGAGCCCCGGGTTCGCAAGGGTTGCCAGCAGTGTTGCCACTTTTCTTTGACAAAAAATATCCAAAACGGTGTCAAAAAATATCTAAAAAGATCTAAATCTGCGTGGAAAAGATCTAGAAAAAACATCCGAATTTAAAAAGTCAAAAATTACATAGCTTTTGTTATGACTTACCCTACATAATCATGTCCTCACCTTCACTGATGTCTGCCTCACAAGATCCACAGGATAAACTTAGCTTGGATAATGAAGTTGAAGCTTCAGATCCAAAATGAGCCAGGTATGCTTTAGTTGTTCTAATTTCTTTATAAGTGGAACAATAGGCTTATTTCTCTAGTCTCATCAGGCCGAATTTTAATGGCACGATAGCATTTAAGAGGTCAAATTTCATGCTGTTTTTTAGGTTAGATTTGATATAATTCCTAGCACTGAAAACTCTTTCTACGTCAGCATTTGAGTGGGGTAGTATCATGGCAGACATGGCACTTTAAAGAGCTTACAGAATGGACTGTTTGATGAGGCATCTTTAAATTGTCTCACTTCACTCCAAAACGCTTTAGTTTCTGTTTTGTTTGTCCATTCAGCTAACTTTATTTTGGTTAACTGATAATCTGCTTCCGCGACACTATTATCAGTAGCCCCTAAAAATTTCATAACTTTACAATATTTAGGTATGAACTTTATTGGCTGAAGTATGTTGCTCACAGAAAAAAGTGAAATATTTTTCAAAACATCTAGATTTTCAGGAAGTCTCTGCTTCAACTGCTTCAATAATGAGATAAGGAAATCTTGACAGCGTTTTCTCAAGTTGTTCTCTTCATTCTCTGTTAACAGTCCTTTTGTTTTTAAATCATCAATTTTTGATTCGATTTAATATCCAAGGTGTGGCTTAGGAGCCAAATAGCTCTCTAAAGTGCAAGTGAGCAAATCAGCTTTAAAAGTTGGCAACACCAGTCTATTACCGAGTGATATAGCAAGGCGAGATCATCAAGTAATTTAACTTTATCAACAAGTTTAGATTCGAACAGTTTATTAACTTTTTCGCACTTCCATTAGAATAGGTTATAAAAAGAGAAAGAATGACAAATTTTTTTCATTACTGTACATTCCATATAGTATTTCAGCTGTGTAGCACTTTTCACTTTGTCTTGTTATTTCAAAGTGTGTCTTCAACTTCAGCCATTGCTTCATAATTCTTTCAACAGCTGGGTAAATTGATAACCATCTAGTTTTGCAATCTGACAGAATTGTCGGTGGTGTGGAACCATCATTCAAGGCTGTATATAATGTATTGTATTGCTGTTGTCTGACAAATGATTTGGAAAACCAGTAAAGTGTTTCAGCAATAAGGTATTCCAAATTCCTTGGTAAATATTTAAATGAAGCATGTGATAATGCTAGCTGCAATGAATGACGCATACATTTTATAAGTATTAACGATGGGTTAGCTTCCTTCAACTTGAAATAAACGCCATTGTTTTTCCAACCACCACTGAGGCATTATCAGTACCAATTACAGCCAAATTCTTCAAGCCTAACTGTTTGCTGATTAAAAGGTCCTTCAGTTCCTAAACTATACTTTCTACATCACACTTTTCAAATTGAACTAGCCCAAGATTTTTTACAAATCGATCAAATGGTCACAGTTTGAAATTGCGCAGTGACAAATTTAAAAAACATTGCGACTGATACTTCAACTTTTGATGATTCATTTATCAGTATAGTTCTGAAAACAGATGTCAGCGGTGTAATATCTTCAAATGAAACTGCAGTTTTATGCTTTTTTAGTCTCTGCATGACTCTTTGAGTTTTGTATTTTCGCTTTAATTTCACACTTGCAGTACTTACAACAAGCTTTGGTCATATCACCAATTTTTAATTTTGTCATCATGCAACCACTCTTTCCAATTTTTTTGCTCATACTTTACTTTTGGCATGTTGAAAGGTTTTTTCAAAGTGAAAGCCACATAAGAAGGTGAGCAATTATTTTTTAAAAATCACATGAAAAAGAAACGCAAAGTCAGCATAGTGAGGATACGGTTGAAACAAAGTTTGTATGATTTACGCGCCTTTTTATTAATCAGTACCGGGACTGCTAGATATTTGTGCGTTAACCCCCGTGAGAATTCAAAGTTCAAGTAATGGCAGTTGTTACAATGTACGTGCCAGACCAAAACAAAAATATTGTAGTAAATATTTTACACAGTAATTATTAAATTGACAATGAAAGGAAAAAAAAATCTATAAAATATCTAACTCCATATGAAAAGAATCTAGAAAAATATTTACGATCTAAACGTCAAAAACAATATCTAAATGCAATGAAAAAGATCTAAATTTGGATATAAAAGATCCAAAGTGGCAACACTGGTTGCTAGATGAAAAACTGAATTTTATGCCAAACCATTACCCAAAATATGCCAGAAAATTGCCAAATATTGTAACATTGAACTTACTTCACATCAAAAGCTCTAGATTGAATTCTTCACTGTCCTCCTCACTGGAACCAGTGGAAGATGCAGCATAAACCTTTTCGGATGTAAAATCTTTAAGCATTTTCTCAGATGGTATGAAGTCTTTGCAACATTTCTTTGATATAAATACCACTGAGGTATTTCTGACAGTAGAAAACCAATATTGGATGGCAGCTTGGCAATTGCACTACAAATGCAGAGTGCTAGTGAATGGCAGATACATCTGAGCTCTAATTCTAACAACTGCATCAAGAAAATCCAGTTGTATTTTGTTTCTTGCTTTTGATTTAGTTGAAGTTACAAGAGAGAATATTCTTTCAACTACAGCATTGCTAACGGGCATTATTAAGCAAGTAAGGGCGAAAGTGGCCAACTCTTTAAATGCCTGGTGTCGAAGTACGCCTATCCAAAAATCTTCACTGTTTGTAGGTAGTCCATCCTTCTTAAAAGTAGCTTCTTCTTTCCAGTTGACAACATTCAGTTTTCTGTACTGTTCTTCTATAATACTGATGTTGTTTTCTGCCAGGTGTAAAAATGGTAGCTCTGAAAACTGTGTCCTTGATATTTGATTTAAAACTGCCAAAGGGCTCAATTTTGACAGATTTTGAAATACATTCTCGGTGGGAAGTCTACACGTAATTTGATTGAGAGCTTCCTCTAGCACACACATGCATCTTTCTTTAACAATGTTTATTTCTATCTCAGCTTCAGTCCCGTTATTCTTATGTAGAAACGCATTACATTCCGTTAGGAATTTAATACCAAAGTCAACGTGATGAATATTTTTTTTTCTGCTCATTGACGTCATAAAGTCTGTTCTTAAGACTTTTCTGGTGCATGGATAATTCTTGGTGTAGTTCATGAGGATCAGCTTTTGTTTGTTGAAAAAGACTGTTCAGTCTTTCAAATTCTTGTACAATTGGTGTCGCAAACACAAAGTACAAATAATTATTGTGGTCTAACAGCATTTCTTTTAACAATCTTACTTTATATTTTGTGTCAAACGTTGTCTGGGCTAATTTAGCACATGTGAAATAAGCTTTCAATTCTTTCCAGTTTACCAACATATTGAACATAATCTTTCCACGCACAAGCCACCTAGTAGATGACAGTTTCTCAAATGGAAGAGAAGCAGTTCGTTCTGATTCAAACTCCGTAGATGTGTTCATCACTCTAAACAGTTCTTTATAGGCTTCTCATCTTAAATCACTATGACGAAACCACTGAGGTATTTCTGACAGTAGAAAACCAATATTGGATGGCAGCTTGGCAATTGCACTACAAATGCAGAGTGCTAGTGAATGGCAGATACATCTGAGCTGTACACAAAAAGGAGACACATCTTTAATTCTGGACCATACCGAGTTCTTCCACCCGATCATGTTTGAAGCGCCATCTGAGGCAAAAGCAATGCAATTTGTAAGACTCTGACCACACCTTTTGATTTCCTTATCAATCAAATTAAATATGTTTTCTCCTGTAGCCACTTGCAAGGAAATTAAAGCAAGAAATCCAGTAAATATTTCATTTTTCCTGTCACTGAAAAAACGAACAATAATGCACAAGTGCTTTTGAGTGGAAACGTCAGTAGACTCAACTATAATGATGGCATATTTCTTGTTCCGAAAATCCTCTATAAGGTCATCCTTAAGTGCAGGCCATATAATATTTTTTATTAAGCATGAACATTTAGTTCTATGCAACTGTATGTGCTCCAGTGTACTTCCCTGACCATGCGCTCTCATGATTTCACTTAGATGATCAATTGTGCGTATTGCACAATGGCCGGTCATCCTTACAGCAAGTTGCAATTTTGCTGCTTTAACTTTATCATTACTTTGCCTAGGAGTTATTGTTGTAATAAGCTGTGACTGGCTTTTTGACGGAGTTTTCATCCTGTGTTTTTCGGATTTTTCATGATTTGAAATGCTACTAATTCTTGGTGCAACAGTGCACTGACACAATTTACAATATGCTGCCTCTGATCCGTCTGAAGATCTTTTGAGCCATGCGTATGTTTTCTCCCAATTACTATTATACTTGCGATTGCTGTCATAAGATGCTTTCCATTTTTTGGATGACGTGGCCATTGGTAAAAGTGAAGTAATATTATTAAAAATATTATTAAAATATATCACAGATAGAACTATATCCTATATATTTTCTGTCCTCAAGTAGTTTATGAACAGTCTGAATCACGTGGTATCAGTGGTGGGTTTTCGTTTTATATCTCGCATTTATTCTAGTAAATTAACATAAATTACAGAGGTTTATCGCAGTCACGATCCTTTTAGGAGACAACAAAACAGTAAGAAGTGACGCGAATCTCCGTTAGTCTGTGCCAGGACATCACAACAAAGTCAAACTGAAATAAAGATTTTAACTGTAGGTCTACATTGCTTTTAGTAAATTTGCGTGTTTCTAAAAGAGGAACCATGAAGAAAATGTGAGCACATCTTGATAAGAAATGCCAGGAAAAACCCAAATATGCCAGAATATGCCAGTTCATTATCTTATGCCAGTTCAATTTCAAATATGCCAGATTTGTGGAATCTGGCATAAAAAATCCAATATGGCAACCCTGGGGTTCGCATCCAGCCCGAGGTGTCTGTCAGTGCGGTGGTGTGCGTTCACAGATAGATCATCGCCGTTCAGCTGTGCAACAGTGACGGTTTCAACTCGTAACGGAATAGTTCACTCATCTATGCGCGAGGACCCCCCCCCCCCTTTTTCCACCCCCAGCCACCACAAATTGGAGCTGCAGCCACGCTTTCTTATCTGACACTGCACGGCTGACAGACACATGATTTATTCACTTATTCAAGGCCGTCATCACAACTACCCTTACTTGCTCTGCCATCGTTCTCTTCCCCAGTTCGCGTTTGTGATCTGCCTGGCCTGGGGGCCTCACCATCAGATCTTTGAGTTTCATTTTTGGCTTCCCTGATGAGTTTCTTGGGATAGTAGTTTCCCGTTGCTTTCCACATCCACATGGCTTTAGACCATGTCCTCAGCCTTCAGCAACCTTTTCGATTGCTAGGGCAAGTGAGTGCCCTGCTCTGTGATGCTCCAGCTAACAGCAGAGGGTACCCCAGAGGTGTCCACTTATCCCGGCGCATACTCGGTCCCCATAGCCGCGTTGGCCACACCGCAGTGTGTTTACCATCCTCTACCGCGTGGAGGTGCAGTTGGAGTTTTCCCTTCACTGAGTCTTGAGACCAGAATGGTATTTCCCAAAACTCTCCAGTACTTTCAGAGGACCTTTAGAAACCACATACTACATTTTCCTGCCAACCCATAACCATTTGCGACTGACTTATTGACCTTTCTAACCTGTTGACTTTACCCCTGAAGAAGTTTTTAGGTGCCTATTTTTGCTTGGGAACAATTATTAACACCTTCAATTATGTTCATTAAAAGAAGAAAAGAAAAATATTGATATTACAAAACAAAAGCGATCAGCAGACAGGCAAGCGAGGTAATAGCAGACTTCGGCGAGAAAGTTAAATTGTAAGAGTTGTGATTCTTGAATTCACCTGATCCAGTCAGTAGGAAATTGTTCGTCAGTTGCCGGGCTGTTGGTCGGTTATCTTAGTGTCAGTCGGTGGCCTGGCTGTCAGTCGGTTATCTTAGTGTCAGTCGGTGGCCTGGCTGTCAGTCGGTTATGTTAGTGTCAGTAGGTGGCCTGGCTGTCAGTCGGTTATCTTAGTGTCAGTCGGTGGCCTGGCTGTCAGTCGGTTATCTTAGTGTCAGTCGGTGGCCTGGCTGTCAGTCGGTTATCTTAGTGTCAGTCGGTGGCCTGGCTGTCAGTCAGTGGCCTGGCTGTCAGTCAATGGCCTGGCTGTCAGTCGGTGGCCTGGCTGTCAGTCGGTGGCCTGGCTGTCAGTCGGTGGGCTAGCTGTCAGTCGGTGGCCTGGCTGTCGGTCGGTGGCCTGGCTGTCGGTCGGTGGCCTGGCTGTCGGTCGGTGGCCTGGCTGTCGGTCGGTGACTTGGCTGTCGGTCGGTGACTTGGTTGTTAGTCGGTGACTTCGCTGTCAGTCGGTTATCTTAGCGTCAGTCGGTGACCTGGCTGTCAGTCGGTGGCCTGGCTGTCAGTCGGTGGCCTGGCTGTCAGTCGGTGGCCTGGCTGTCAGTCGGTGGCCTGGCTGTCAGTCGGTGACTTCGCTGTCAGTCGGTTATCTTAGCGTCAGTCGGTGACCTGGCTGTCAGTCGGTGGCCTGGCTGTCAGTCGGTGGCATGGCCGTCGGTCCGTGGCCACGTGATCTATTCTACACAACTTTGTGATTTGAAAGACATGTGGTCGTGACAAGGAAAAGAACATTCGCCCTGTGATTCAAAAGAATATCATCATGCAATAACGGCCTCTGCTCCATCCACTGCCCCTCCTCTCCCATGGTTACAGTAAAAGGGAAACAAATAGGGTGGGGTGGGGGGGGGGGGGTCTCTTATCTTTTCGTCGAGAACCTGAAAATGACTGAAAGTTGCATCACAAGTGCCCATTCCTGCATGCCTGTTTCCGGCCAACTTGTTTGTGCCCTCACCCCTCCAAAGACCTGAATATATGTTTGTGTTCACTGTCGCATCCGAAGACCTGAATATATGCTTGTGTTTACTGTTGCATTCAAATACCTGAATATATGTTTGTGTTTACTGTCGCATTGGAGGACCTGAATATATGTTTGTGTTTAATGTCGCATTCGAAGACCTGAATATATGTTTGTGTTTACTATTGCATTCAAAGATCTGAATATATGTTTGTGTTTACTGTCGCATTCAAAGACCTGAATATATGTTTGTGTTGACTGTCGCATTCGCAGACATGAATACATGTTTGTGTTTACTGTTGCATTCAAAGACCTCAATATATGTTTGTGTTTACTGTCGCATTCAAAGACCTGAATACAGGTTTGTGTTTACTGTTGCATTCAAAGACCTGAATATATGTTTGTGTTTACTGTCGCATTGGAGGACCTGAATATATGTTTGTGTTTACTGTTGCATTCGAAGACCTGAATTTATGTTTGTGTTTACTGTCGCATTCAAAGACCTGAATATATGTTTGTGTTTAATGTTGCATTTGAAGACCTGAATATATGTTTGTGTTTACTGTCGCAATCAAAGACCTGAAAATATGTTTGTGTTTACTGTCGCATTCAAAGACCTGAATATATGTTTGTGTTTAATGTCGCTTTCAAAGCGCAATGTGCAGTTTCATTACCAGAATGTCCTACCTCTCCTCATTCTCCGTTTGTCGGTTTGTTGTGCAGCCGAAAGCTAACGGACGGAACGGACTTTCTACCCCACCAGGATATCACACAAGCGATAAACATCCGATGACACAAAGTGCCACCATGCGGATGAGGATCGCCGTGGAGAGGTCCCAGAAACCGCGTTCAGACATTTGGCCATATGTATGGCTTGCCTATATTGCGGGCCCTGGCAAAAGCCAGAGTAGGGCTTCAAAGGACAAAAAATTTCGTCCTAAAAAGGACGAATTTGGATGCTTAGTAATAAAAAAACTAACGAAAATGTCCGTATAGTTGAGTGGCTGACACGGTTTGCTGCCCGCTGGGCAGGTTTCACGAATATGTAATTCTCTCTCTCTCTCTCGCCTCTCTCTGTCTGTCTCTTTCTTTTTCTGTGTCTCTCTAATTAATAAATGCATGCACACAGCACACAAACTAGAAACACATATAAACTAGACACACACGGGCGCTTGCGCGCGCGCGCGCGCGCACACACACACAAATCACAGAGAATATAACAGAGACTAGACAGACACACACTCTGGATACAAAATCTAGACTTACAAACTAAACGCATAAACAAGCACACATACACAAATTAGACACACAGACAAACACACATACACTAACTAGAAACACAGCTTGCCAATTGCCAAATACTGTCTTTATTATACTACCTTTGTGGTGTAGGAAAGGGCGGGGTGGGGGGGGGGGAGGGTTGAGAGGGGGGGATGGTCTTTGTCTGAGGATTTATAGCCACATGGCTAAAAAAATCCCCAGCCTTGCAAAGAATTTGAACCCGGGTCTACCACTTGAGAGTCCAGACTTCTAACCGTTCGGCCAGACGCTGCACACAAACGTACAAACATATTTGTCCAGATATGGAGGGACACACTCAGCCATGCAATGAATCTTCTCAATGAATTATGTCCCTTGGGAAAGGGTTTCTCCGTAAACTGACATTTATGACCTCCCTTCTCCGGAAGTGGAGAAGATGTGAGGCCCCACGTGACAGGATATTGCTGCAATAGATCACATCTCATGGCCGCTTTAACAAACAGAATTTTATCAACCAGCTGATATTACATTTGTTATTTCATTGTTTTTATTGTTGCTGCTGCATGTGCGGTATTTCTAGCAGAGATGTGTAACCTGCCTTCGCTGACAGGGATACATCAGCCGGGGACTTTCACTTCATTCATGAATGTCCCCACCAAGAACCTCGAACATCGTCCCCTTGTGTGATGCCATTTTTAGTTATTTTGAAGCCCCACTCTGGCTTTGGCCGGGGCCTCTAAATGTAGCCGAGCTTTGAATATAGCCTAACGACTGAACGGGGTTTCTGGGACCTCTGCACGGATGATCCTCATCCGCATAGTGGCACTTTGTGTTGCCCGGTGTTTATCGCTTATGTGATGTCCTAATACCTACCTACAAAGAACGAGGTGGTCATATTTTAGTCCAGGTTTAGCTTTAGGAGCACCCAACTGTGTTCAAAGAGCACCCAACTGTTAGGCTGTAAGAACGCCCAAATGTGCTACAGGAGCACTCAACTGTTAGGCTGTAAGAACGCCCAAATGTGCTACAGGAGCACTCAACTGTTAGGCTGTAAGAACGCCCAAATGTGCTACAGGAGCACTCAACTGTTA